AGCTGCGACAATCAGACATCATCTCGATACGACATTACATAAGGAAGAGATCACAGATGACAAAAACAGAAAAAGAATGAAAAACTTAATCAATGAAGTGAGAGCAAATGCATATGTAGACAACATCATGATCGGAGCGAGATCCGTAGAGGACGCTGAATGGAAGTACCGAAAGTTAAAAAATGTCTTTAATGAGGCTTCAATGAATTTACGTGAATGGCTATCAAATGAATCACAAGTAAATGACCTGTTTGATGTGAAAGATCGAACGCAAGGAAATTTATCTAAAATGTTGGGACACGAGTGGGACGTCATCAACGATCAACTAAACATTACATTAAGACAGATAAGCGATAACGAATTAAAGCTAATAACCAAAAGACGAGTTCTGAATCAATTATCCAGTAACTTCGATCCTCTAGGATTAATATCGCCTGTAATTATGATCGGAAAATCATTCTTTCAAAAATTATGGAAAGAAAAGTGGGAATGGGACGAGGTATTACCAGACTATCGAGCCAACGAATGGAGAAATCTAATGAAACTTTGGGCTCAACATCCCAACTTTTACGTTCCTCGCCTCATATTAACAAATCATAATAACCACTCAGTAAGTCTGCATGCCTTTGTTGATGCCTCGAAGTTGGCATATGCAGCGTGCATTTACTTGCGAGAAGGCGAAAACCATAATGAAGGGAACGTTCAACTCATCTACGCAAAAAACCGACTAAATCCCATCAAGGAACTAACCATTCCCAGATTGGAATTAATGGCTGTACTAATTGGTATACGAGCACTACAATTCGTTGAACACGAATTAAGTTTAGTCGTTACAAGTAAATGCATCTGGAGTGATGCAAAATGTGTACTAACATGGCTCTCATCTACAAGAGCACTTCCAGTATTTGTGGCAAATCGCATTCGCGAAATTAAGGCATCAAAAAACGTTGAATATCGTCACGTGTCTACCAATGAAAATCCAGCAGATATAGCAACGCGTGGCACTGATCCCGAAAACTTAGCTCGCAGCGCCATTTGGTGGAATGGGCCCGAATGGTTAAAACTGCCAAAGAAGAACTGGCCACAACTTCAAGCAAGCATAAAAAATGAAGTAAAAGCAACTGAAAACTCGGAACCATCATGTGAAGACGCACAACAAGAAGAAACCAGATTAACAGTTAACGCAGTCATCCAGAATAACAATCCTTCTGTACTCACAGAGGACATAATAGAAAGAATAGCCACACGAGTAAACTCATGGCGGAAACTGAAAGGAGTCGTAGCTTATATGCGCCGTTGGTTACACATTCTCAAAAAGCCATCACAAAATCAAGGATCCCAACTCAGCATCGAAGAACTTGATATCGCCGAACAAATCATCATCGCACACACACAACACAAATACTTCCAGAATATAAAAGAAGCAATAGAGAAAAACACAAGGAACTCCCTCAGAGACCAGCTTGGGATTCAATGCATTAATGGAGCTCTAAGATGTGTAGGCCGATATGGAGCAGCAGACATCAACCAGAGCACTAAAGCTCCCATATTAATTCCAACCAAAGGCAGAATCACAGAACTGATTATCCATGATGCACATAAAAGGAGTCTCCATAATGGAACACAACTCACACTCAGCACGATTCGGAACAAGTTTTGGATCCCAAAAGGAAGAGCTGCGGTGAAAAGAGTCATTAAGCAATGTGTAATATGTAAGCGGTATGACGGGGGACCTTTCGCTCTTCCACCCATGGCACCCCTACCAACAATGAGAACTCGACGAGCATATCCTTTCCAGTACACTGGATTGGATTATTTTGGACCAATTGAGATCAAAGACAATGGAAGAAGAAGAAAGATATGGGGATGCATTTGGACCTGCTTATCCACCCGTGCAGTTCATCTCGACATTGTCACAAACCTTTCAGCCCAATGCTTCTTGAACGCATTCCAACGATTCATTGCTAGAAGAGGAAGTCCCTCCATAATTATATCGGATAACTCAACTACATTCACAGCAGGTGGCAGAATTTTGACAACTAGCCCTCAAAAGAAAGAATGGGAAAAGGAAAGCCTAATTCGGGCGAAAGAAATGGGAATCGAATGGCAATACATAACCAGTCATGCACCTTGGAAAGGAGGAGTTTATGAACGTCTGATCGGCTTAATCAAAAGAACAATTAAGAAAACAATAGGAAGACGAATATTAACCCTTGAAGAAATGAGTACATTCTTATGTGAAGTGGAGGCCGTTCTTAACAGTCGACCCTTAACATACTTATATGAAGAACCAGACAGCCGCATAATACGCCCGATTGACTTCATTGCACCACATGTGCAACTGCAAATTCCATCGAACCAAATTGATGATAATAATGATCCAGACTATCAATTATCAGAAGAAAAGGACCAACTATTAGAACAATATCTGGAAGGACTAAGAATTTTGGACAGATTTTGGCAAATCTGGCATGCAGAATATCTACTAAGTTTGCGCGAAACTCAACGAATGTTACATTCAGCCCATCACGCCGAAATAAAAAGGGAACCGAAAAAAGGAGAAGTAGTGCTTATTCATGATGATAATATGCCCCGAGGTCAATGGAAATTAGGCTCAATAGTCGAACTTCCAAAAGGATCCGACGGACAAATTCGAGTGGCCATCATAAAAACAATGAACAGAGAAAGAATCGAACGCCCAATTAATAAACTA